ACATAAAGGTATTTAATTTTACTGTTGTTGGCTATACATTTTGTACTAAGCCAGTGACAATTCGACACGTGACAAAGTGAGGGTAATATGGGGAGACCAGGTAGGTCTTCGATCCTGATCATACACGTGGCAATTAATATTGGTTGTGATAAGATCTGAGTAGTAGCGGATCAACAAAGAGACGTACAGTGACGTGGCTTCAACGGTTGTTCACATTCAAATTCGAATATAAGGGGGAAGCCTAACTGCAAGTGAAGAGGGTTCGGCTCAGAAAATTTAAGGCATTTGGATTGTAATTCAGTAAAATAGGCGAAAAGCCAAAACTGAAGGATCCAAAATGGCCCCCCTTGATTAGCATCTAAGTATTTCTCACAAAAAATGGAGCAGACTCTATATACGTGCCCTAGAACATGTGGGGCTAAGGCCACCTTTTTCTGTAAGACAAAGGCTTTGGCAAGGGGGGCAAATTCAGGCATAATTCTCTGAGGGGAAGTGCAAAAAAGGAATTTACAAAGCCAATACAATAAGAAAGAAAAAAATTCCCTATCAGTCACAGGGCCCTGTCTTTTATTCTCAGCCCTAGCAAAATCACTATAGGATGAGTTAAGGGAGGGGAGGGAGAAAGGGACTACTAAATCAGGATAATCTGGTCCAAAAGGAGTGCCAATAGGGGATAATCTCAGTAAATGGCAAATATCAAGAACAGTAGGGGCCATCATCCCACATCTAAATTGAAAAAAGTTAAAGACAGGATTCCAAAAACATAGAGCAGCGGGAACAAGGAAAGGGTCTTCTGAAATAGTTACCCTAGACAGTCTGAGAGCATCGAGAAGGCAGAGTTCTTGAAGGTCCAGGGTCCTAGCAGGAATAACCCGATCATACCATTCTTGCCACTCTGGTCTCACCGTGGGCCAGCATCGGTGGGGGCGATTCATCCTCCAGTTCCTCCAGTCAAGACCACCTTCATAAAGAAGACATTGGTTTTCCAGACGAGGATATAGGGCTGGGAGCTCAGTAAGGATCTCCTTGAAAATGGGCCCAAGCACGTAGTCTCGCTGCATATGGCGATGAGGGACGAAGATACGCCCATCGATAGCGGTTTTTTCCCCAGCTTTGTACTTCTCACATTCTGCATCAATGAGCCTCTTCAGGGCTACAGATGAACTCACACGCTCTACGACGGGCATGTTCAATGAAGAAGAAGCCATTGGTAGTTCGCTTTTTCAGAAAGTAAAGCTGAGAAAGGGAGTAGAGAGAGATGGAAGATTGATAGAGGGGAGGGTTTGTGTGTTAAGAGCAAGTGATTTCAGAGCACGAAACAAATTTTTTTTAAAGCTTTTGTGTCTGAAAAATATATTGCGTAAGTCGTTAAGTACTAGAAGTACGAATACGAAGAGTTTCCTTCAATATTGATACTTTTGGAGGTAAAAACACAGCCCAGATGCTAAGACTAGCTTCGAAGTAAGGTATTTGGCTTCGAAACCAGATTTTGGCGCCAAAAGTCAAATAACATCAGCTTCAAAACAGAGAAGCCGGCTTCGAAGCACATTCCATACTTAAGGATGCAAGAATGCTCAAGTATTTGTTTACTTCAGAAAGTGAAGTCCTTCGAAAAAAAACTTAAGGCCCCTTAAGGAGGTGAATTGTTGTTCGAAACATCAAAACCAATAGTTGGTTGGTGTATATATGGAAAGATTTTGTCTTTTGAACTAAAACAGCATGAACTGTTGTTCAAAGCAAAAGGTGGTCAATTTAAAAAAACTAATTGATCATATTAACCGTGATCAGATGTTGGTTATGGCTGAAACAAGCTTTAAGTATAAGATTGCTAGATTCGAAGCATTGTTTCTAGATGAAAATCAGCCAAAACTATCAACTTTATTCCATAAATTGGAAAAGTCATTTTAGTTCCTTTTAGTGTTTCATTAAAATCAATTGAGTCCAGGTTCGAAGGATGACGTTGTTAAATTCGAAGCACTAATTCTAAATGATATCCGCCAGAATTGTCAACTTTATTCCATAAATTGGAAAAGTCATATTGATTCTTAATGTTTCGTTTTTAAACAATTGAGTCTTTATTCGAAGAATAAGATTGTTCAGTTCGAAGCTCTGAATTGGCTTTTAAAGACAAAAGGAAACAGATTCAAACAATGCCAAATACAGAAGAATTTCTGTTTATATTCAAGCCAAGGCAATTACACCAGTGAACTTATCTAGGTATAAACTCAAGCTCAAAAAAAATAAGGAATAGAATAAATAACGAGGTCATGGAATTTAGTCCAGCAGTGATCAATGAATTTTTGTTCTTTCTTTATTATATCTTCTATTTCTTCTAACGTTGGCTGCATGAGTTGATGGTAGTAGCCATAGAATTACGGTGCCAGTGAAGAAGCAATGGAAGTTGGTCCAGAAACATATGAAGTTCTGCCTGAGCAAGGGGATTAAGTACATGACCCTTAGTCTTGATGTCACAAGCCCATTGAAGGTTCTTGAGAGGGACTTCGTCCTCGAGAACATTAAAGGGCAAGTGAGAGAAGGCTGCAAGCAGAAGTTGACCCTGTTTCCGCTCAGCTGGGGTAGGAGAAGGCAGAGGTTTATAGGGTGGAAAGACATTCTCCGTGGATAGGGCAATCTTCAATTTTTCTGCCCAGGAAAGAATTGGTACCTACCAGTGAAGGAGTAATGGAAGTTGGTCTAGAAACATGTGAAGTTCTGCCTGAGCAAGGGGATTAAGGACATGGCCCCTAGTCATGATGTCACAAGCCCATCGAAGGTTCTTGAGAGGGACTTCGTCCTCGAGAACATTAAAGGGCAAGTGAGAGAAGGCTGCAAGCAGAAGTTGAGCCTGTTTCCGCTCAGCTGGGGTAGGAAGAGGTAGAGGTTTATAAGGTGGAAAGACATTCTCCATGGATAGGGCAATCTTTAGTTTCTCTGTCCAGGAAAGAATTGGTGGGGGAGAAGGTATGCATACTTCAATTTCAGGAGACGAAGAAGAAGGTGGGGACGCTTCTGTTTTCGAGGATGATACGGGAGCAGAAGGAACAAAGGCATTAATATAATCAAGCCAGTCAGAAGAACAGATCTTCGCCTTCTGGGCTAAGAATGATGGGTTATACCCTTGTGCTTCTTCTGGGCGAGGAGCAGAGTGCACTATCTTTGTAGGCATGGAAGATGTATACCATGCTACAAGAAGATTCTCCTCCAGACTACGCCGATGGTCAATGGGCACATAAGGATAAACAACTGAACTTCGAGCATAGGAGGGAAACTCTAAAGGGTCGGTGAACTCAACAAAATGGTGGTTGATTCGCTCCTTTAAATCAGAAGTCTCAGGTACTGACCAGTTTGTCCAGCCAGAACCCCCAGAAGAGGAAGAAGTTGTAGCTTTATCCTTTAAATCATAAGTCTCAGGTGCTGACCAGCTTGTCCAGTCAGAACCTCCAGAAGAGGAAGAAGTTGCAGCTTTATCCCATACAGAAATTTGCGAAGAAGAGTTGCTCAAATCCATATTTGCAATTTTACGAATCAGAAGTTTGAGAGCAGATTGTTCGAACTGTAAAGGTAGGTCAAAGGGAAAAATTCTTATGTCTTTGTTTGTAGCTTTCTGAATCGAAGGATTAAGAGCAATGTGTTCGTAATCCAAAGGTCGGTAATTTGCAAAGGCGTCCATGACCTGAATATAGAAAGGTGGGTAAAGGTGGCTAATAAATGCATGCTTTCGATGAGGAATAGCATCGACATATGACTCTTCGTATGCTTCATCATTGAAGGAAAGAATTAATTTGGCCATGAAATGTATCAGTCTGTTCGAATAATAAGACAGTGAAAGTACTTAAAGGATCAAGACGAGAGTATTAATACAGATGGTGTGTGACAGTTGCATTTCTGGGAAGATGCAAAACCCATGCACGTTCTAAGACGTGGGAAAAGGGACTCTGATCCACTAATATCACCAAGTCTTGGGTATATTAGTGCGGGGGGTAATGTTGGCTACACATTTTGTGCTAGCCAGTGACAATTCGACGCGTGGCAAAGTGAGGGTAATATGGGGAGACTAGGTAGGTCTTCGATCCTGATCATACACATGGCAATTAATATTGGTTGTTATAAGATCTGAGTAGTAGCGGATCAACAAAGAGACGTATAGTGACGTGGCTTCAACGGTTGCTCACATTCAAATTCGAATATAAGGGGGAAGCCTAACTGCAAATGAAGGCGTAGTGGAGCTACTTATAAGGTAGCATGATCAGCGACTACGGAGGAGCAATTCGACGGTTTGAAGTACAATTCGATGGTTATCTTCGGAAAGTATAAATAGCAGGAAGGACTTCAGAAAAGGAAACGAAGAAAAGATCAAAAGAATTACTTTACATATTCCAGTGTTATTTCCTATCCTTTATATTTCTGTACTTTAAGTTCCTGCGCTGCACTTCATTTGTAGGAGTAGTTTTCGAGTATATTGCCGCTGTAATTCTCTACGGAACTAAGATCATTGTAAGTTTTTCATACTAATAAAATGCTTCAGTTTATTTAACTGTTCTTATGCTCAAGTTCTCTGAAGTCAAATTACTAGTAAGCCACCAGTAAAAGTCCTCTTTATTGAGGCCGAAAGAACCATAACATAATCGTCTGAATAATTGTTTGGCAATTACAATTCTGTAAGGACTGATTGATCCTTACTGGCACGCTCATAATTACAAAAGTAACCTTCGAAAGCCAAAAAGCCAACAATGGGTTAATAATTAAAATCAAAACCCATATTTATTCTTTAATTCTTCCAAATTACATACATGTAGAAATAAGGCCCAAATTCATGCAAGATATTCAACATCAAACCAAAAATGATTAATTTCCAAGTTTATTCCCATAACTATGAATCCTAGCTTTATTCTCTTGTTCAAACCCATGTCCTTACAATTTCCATCGAATTGATCTTAAACTCCTCTTAATTTCAAGTGTAATGTAAAGATTCTACAAAAAATTTAAGTTTGATTTCATACCTTAAACTTTAATCTCAAGAAATTTAATTGATTCCCTTCTAATTCCCTTGTTCCTCCTAGCTTTTCTTCCCTTAGTTTTCCTTCTTCTTGAGCTGAAATTGCTTCCTTCCCTCATTTGGTTCTCTCTCTCACTCACGGATTGCCCAAAAGCAATGTGAAGTTCCTTTTTTTTTTTTTTTTTTGCTCTCAAATCCCTCTAGATAAGAATGCAACCAGCAAGATAAAATAATAAAACCAAGAGTTACCTACTCTCTCTCCTCATGTATACACACTCCCTTCTTTACAATACACAGGTGCACACTCCTTGAAGCCTCCAGCACAACACTCACATGCACACACGCACACAGAATTTCTCTGCACACCCAGATTTCTTAGCGCACACACGCACCCACATATATCCTCAAACTCTAAATTATTCTACAATTAAATTTACGGTTAAGATTAATTCAATTAAATAACACTTATTCTTAATAAGTTTTTTTTAACATATAATTAAATTAACCATAACTAATCATAAATCTCCCATAATTTAATTAATCTAATTGACTTCCATTAGAGCCTAATTAAATATATTTAAATTTCTCAATCCGAATTAGATTTTTAATCAAACTCCCAAAAGGCTCTAAATATTAAATTAAACTCATTTCCATCCTTAGTTTTGGTTTCTTAGATCATTTAATCCTTCAATTTCTGATCAGACTCAAAATTTCGTCAATAAATTACATATTCAAATTAGACACCACATAATGAATTTAATTTATGATAATTTTAACTCCCAATCCTCTTAACTTAATTAACTCCAATTCGGACCCAATTAATCAAATATCAATTTTATAAACCTGAATCGAATATTTAATTAAACTTCCATATGACTCGATACTCAAAATTTAAATAATTCAAATCACTATTTGCACTTTCTTGAGCCATTTAGGCTTTCAATTTCTAATTCTAAATAAATCCTCGATAAAACTATATATAAATCAATCTCCATAATTTTCGTGAATCCCAGATTAAATTATAATAATTGGCGATAAAATTTCAAATCTCCTTAATTAATTAAGTGCTAATCATTATACGTGATGGGGTTGTTACAACGGTCGAACTAGGAATGGTTTGTAACCCAGTTGTAGCCTTGTGCACCGATCACTATCCGTGCTACAAACCTTGAGTTGGCCCTGTTTTATGGCCAAACTGTCTGTAACCCAGATTCAGCCGAGCTAGGCTTTTTTTTCTTATTTGTTGCCTACTTAGCTAGCTCGGTCCAGTTTATCCGGGCATAACACTTTTTCATTTCCACTTTGCAGACTTGACTAGGTTGGCCAGGCACACCCTTGCACTTTGCCCCTAGGCGATTTTACTCAACCGAGCCATCCAAAGTCACACCAGCGTCGAGCTAAGCTGCCATACTCATTTTTACATAACAAACTTTAACTTTAATAGGTAAGTACCAATTCCTGGTAGACTTGCCTGGGGCCATGGCCGAATTCCGAAGAGACTACCATATTCCTGATGACACCCACCTCTCCTTAGCCGAGCTAGACACCACACCTTGGGGCAAACCAGGCTTCGTCCCTTTTACAGTGATATCGATTGTGGAAGCCAGGCTTCGGTTCCTTATACAGCCCCTTATATGTGAGTTCTTAAGACAAATAAGATTGTGTCCAACCCAACTGTCCACAAACACTTATAGAATAATAAACGATATTGTCAAGCTAAACTGCTGGCTCGACCTCAGCCTCGGATTGGCCGAGCTATTTTATCAATATTCGCTTGGCCAAAATGACAACGGCTGGGTGTACTACCTCAGAGTAAGAAGAGGTCAAGAAAAAATTATAAAAAAGCACCCCGGACAAAGATCTAAATGATGATGATTTCTTCTGGGTTTCTGAAAACTTTGAAGACCATGAAGCCCAGATACCAGGCTATAACATCAACTGGAATAAGGGAACAGCTGGTAAGAACATTCCTGTTTAATTCTCTTTGCTATTTCAACAGCCACCGCGCTAACCCACTACGTTTCTTATCTCTTTTGCAGATTTAAACCCACTTAAATCACATTACGCTTACGCCAATCAAGATGCCCTTCATTCCGCACTTCGATACCGCCATCGAGATTGGACCAAGCTACTAAATTTCGAGCCGACCTACCGGTATAGTGGAAAGAGGAAAACCAAAGTCACCGACTTCCTCCTAGAACCTTCACCTAAGCCAGACCCCACTCTTCTCCAAATCAACCTAATCTCTCTTACTGAAGAACAGGAGATGGAAAAGAGGCGAGCTATCCGCGCCCTTATTACCGAGCAGACCGCTCCTTTCACAGTCGAGGCCCAGACTAAGCTGCCTCCAACTGGTAACGCTCGTGAGGCTGTGGTCGCCCTACCAACTGCTAGAGCCTCGTCATCCCGACCTAACAAGAGACCGCGTACCTCGGCCGGCCAAACACAGCGTTGGTTGATGAAGAAGAAACCGAACAGCCTGAGGCTGCGCCCCCTAAAACATCCATAGGTAGACACCAAGCTATCCCATTTCCTCCGCCAGTGTGGGCACCAGTTGTATCTTTCAAGGGCCGCGCCGTGACTACGTCCGATTTTGTTTACGACGAAAAGGACCATCTTCTAGCGTTTAACATGGCAAAAAATGTCTGTCTTCCAGCCGACATGGAGCACCACGCCCATCTAACCGAGCTGAAGGCCATACGATCTGCCAACAAATCGCTTATTCTGGTAATGCTGAATTCCACTTATGTTCTAATTTTGCCACAAACTTGTCGCTCGGTTCTTCTAACTGTAGATGTTTTGCAGGCCGTGCAAAAGAACCAGATCGCACACGAGCGCGTGCTTGAATTAAGAAGAACGGCCAAGGCCGCCATTGCTGATGGTAAGGCCGAAGAAGCCGAGCTCAAAGAACTACGAGCAAAGTTTGCCGAGCTGAAAGCCTACCAAACTAATTGGCTAAGCAGGTTTCTGCGGCTGAGGTAGAAAAGAACAAAGCTCTGGCCGAAAAGAAAGATCGTTATCTTCGAGAGCTGGCCAAGCTCAAGAAGAAAAAAGATGCCAAAATAAAAGCATTGCAGAGGCAAATTGAAGACGTTGAGGAGCACGGTTTCAAAGAAGGTGAGGAGTTCTACGTCCAGGAATGCGAGGCGTCCAAAGACATCTTCTTTAAGTGTGGGTAGAAAGCTGTCGTTGCCAAGCTCGGTCAGGGGCCTGATTCTAATATCTTTCTCAACCCTCCTCCTCACTTTATACCGAGCTATATGACAGACTATGCCAATGTGGTCCAATAAAAGTTCCTCCAATAGGGGGAGAAGGAAGACGCCCCAGATCCATCCAACGCTCCTCTTACCAACACCGACTGCGGTCTCTAGCTGTCTTCGTGAGCTCGGGTGGATCCGCTCGGCTAACTTGTGCCAAGCACAATTGACGTGGAGCCCGAGACCGAGCTATCCCAAGAGGCAGCTGCCCAAACCGGCCTCTCCAGTGGTGAAGCCCCGGTTGACCTGGATGCCGAGCTAGATGACCTCTTTGCCTGATTTCTTTGCCTTCTTTATTTTTTTTGTTTGTAATGTAACTGGGCTAAAATGCCCCACCTTTTGTAATTGCTTACCTATGAATGAAATCTTTCTTTTTTCACATCTTTTTGTTCGGTTATAGCACTTTTTCTTTTTTAGTGCATTACCTTTAATACAAGCCTAGCCAACCTGGTTAGTTCAATCGTTCCTTATCTTGCCCACCTTTTTCGATCAAGATACTTATCTCGGCTAAAAAAGAACTTTGGAATTTGTAAAACCTTTGTGACTAAAGTGCTTGATCCTTATCTCGACTAAAAGAAAACAGTTTTGATTAAACCTACAAACTTACTTGAGCCTAGACCCTTATCTTTGCTAAAGAACGAACTAAGTAATTACACCTGCTAACTTCCTTTAGTCTAGATCCTTATCTCAGTTTGAGGGGTGAACTAAGTGTTGGTCAAACCTGTCGACCTTCTTGAGCCTAGATCCTTATCTCAGTTGAAGAACAAAAGGTGTTGGTCAAACCTGCCAACCTTCTTAAGCCTAGATCCTTATCTCGACTGAAGAACAAAGGGTGTTGGTCAAACCTACCAACCTTCTTGAGCCTAGATCCTTATCTCGGCTAAAGAACAAAAGGTGTTGGTCAAACCTGCCAACCTTCTTGAGCCTAGATCCTTATCTCGGCTGAAGAACAAAAGGTGTTAGTCAAACCTGCCAACCTTCTTGAGCCTAGATCATTATCTTGGCTGAACAAGAGAACTAAGTGTTGGTCAAACCTGCCAACCTTCTTGATTGCCCCTAGTCGACAATAACTATGAACAACTTCTACAAAGGAAAATAAATTTACTGAAAAAAAACTACTTGCTTTATTGCAAAAAGAAAAATTACAAGTGTTTTAAGAAAAAACTAAAAATAAAATAGTTTGAGATTGGCCGTGTTCCATGGCCTGGGAACAGTTTTGTTGTCCATATCTTCTAAGTGATGTGCCCCTTTTCCTGCTAAACTAATCACTTTGTATGGTCCTTCCCAGTTAGGTCCTAACTTGTCATCTCTAGGTACCAAAGTGTTGCCCACTACTTTGCGCAGTACCCAATCTCCAATCTTGAATTACCTTGGGTGCACTGTTTTATTGTATTTCCTGGATAACTCTTGTTGATATGAGGCAATGTGCACCAATGTCTTTTCTCTTTTTTTTTTTCTACGAGGTCGAGTTCTAGGGCTATGGCTTCACCATCTAAGTTTGGATCAAAATTTTCGCTTCTAATAGTGGGGAGGCCCACTTCCAGGGGGATTATTGCCTCCATGCCATAAGCCAAAGAAAAGGGCGTTTCGCCAGTTGACCGCTGAGGTGTGGTACGGTAAGCCCATAAAACATTGGGAAGCTCCTCAGCCCACTTGCCTTTTGCTCTTTCCAACCTCTTCTCCAGACCATCTAAGACTAATTTGTTGGAAGCCTTAGCCTGGCCATTAGCTTGGGGGTATGCTAGTGTAAAGTTGTAGAATTCTGTTTTGTATTTTTCGCAAAAGCCCCAAAAGATTTTGCCATCAAACTGAGTGCCGTTGTCGGATATTAAAGCCTTGGGTATGCCAAGCCGAGTTATGATGTTCTGCCAGACGAATTTCTTGACGTCTTTTTCTTTTATAGATGCGAGTGTTTCTGTCTCCATTCACTTTGTGAAATAGTTCGTTGCTACGATAAAGAACTTTCTG